ACAGATAAGGTACCCTCCTTCATGGAGCATACAGTCCAGTGGGAGGAGACCGTTAACGACAAATAAAGGCACAATATAATTAAAGATATGACAATAACTGCGGAGTGAATACTTTAGACTGGGGAGTCTGGGAAGGCCTTTGAGGAATGTAATATTGAATTGAGACCAGAAAGGTGATGACAGTTAGAGAAAGTGAGGCAGCAATGGCCCTGGAAATGTTCCCAGGCATCCTTGCTTGCACCAAGCTCTCCTTCTTAAGAAAGCCCTTTTCTAAGTTTTGGCTTCTGCTGCCTGCTTGGCATGAAAGATGCAGTGGTGGACATAGATGTCATCGTGATCAATGTCCTTTACCTTTTGGAACTGAGAGTCTCATCTTTGCCTAGTTAATTTCTACCCGTACTTTAGATGAAAACTCAGATCTTCCTTGACATGCTCCCTCCCTCAAATCTGTTCTCTCTGTTAAATGCTGTCACATCCCCATGTACCTGATCTACATAGCATACACCATGGTATTATATTTGATTCATATCTGTCTTTCCCATAAAGACTGTAAGCTCTGTGAAGGTCAGGACCAAATCTGTTATTTGCCCACCTTGGTATTCTCCAGGCTTCAGTGCCTGGTACATAGTAGGTGCTCAAAAAACTTTTTGAATGGCTGAGTGAAATTATTAACATGGTCTTTGCTCTCCAGTGGTTCATAGGCAGTGTCTCTGCCACTGGATTGTTGTCTTTTCTTTCTGATTATATCTCTTTTCTACTTAAATGACTCCTCATTGCCTTTAGATGAAAGACCAAAATCTTGAACATCACACTGGATATTCTTTTTAAAATGGCTTCATCTTTCCTACCCAACCTCCTCTCTCAACTTCCATCATCCCGCCTACCTGACCTTGTGTTTTTAGCCATACCACATGTCTCCCTCTTCCTTCAAAGCCACTGGTTCTGAGCCTGTGTTCCCACTTGCTCTTTGCTTTGCTCCCCATCTTTTCCTCCTATCCTTCAACAATCAGGTTGTGGGTCACCTTCTCAAAGACATCCTCCCTTTCTCTGTTGTGCTTGTTTTGAAAATTCCATGTTACAGCTCTGATCACACTGAATGACAGTCATTTACATGCCCAGGACCGAGAATGTATTCAGTCAGCCTTTGCTGAGTAAATGAGGAAGTCCAAAGTGTTCTGCCTATGGTTGGGACTTGCAATCACAAGTAAACTTTATTGAGTGCTATTTATGTGCCAACTACTGTGTTGAACACTTAGCATTGATTACTTTTCATGTCTCAGTTTTGTAGATGAGGAAAACAAGGCTTAGAGAGTTTAAGGAACTCCAGGTCTCAAAGATGGGTAGGAAAAGGTGGAGCTGGGATGTGAATCCAGGCTGCAGAACTATAAAGCTCTCTTTTAACCATCATGCCAGCCTGAGTCGGAATCGCCTTTGCAAGCACTGGCTTGTAGGAGTGGATTTCTTCTGAAATCAGGTGCTGTCTCTACCTGTTTAGGCCTGGCATCTGGGGCCTGGAAGTTAAAAGGTTGAAGAGGCACCACCTACTATGGCTCTTTCCCCAATCTAGGTCCCTACACTAGACACTCCCACAACCCTCTTTGGCAGGTGAACATGGAAGGAACTGGGCCTGTGAGTCATTTAGACTTCTGGACTGGTGAGCAGACCCCCTGGTGTTCCCAGCTGCCCTCCCAGCATCACTGGGAGGTTAGGAAGGAAGTATTTTTAGTCTGTTGAGCACAAGAGATCCAGGTGTCAAAGCAGATGGGCTGGGCTTCAATTTCAACTCGGTCACTAACGTGTCTGTCCCTCTTTGGACCTCTGAGCATCAATAATCCCTGTTGTCTGTAGCTAGGTTGTTGTGAGATGCTAGTACAATCATAACTTGATTCAAACTAACATCTGTGCAACATGTGTCTGTTATCTATGTTCTGGAAAGCTGAAAGGTGAAAAGTCACCCAAGTCCCATTCATTACTTCACACCTTATAATTTTTGGCGGGCTACCTCACATGTACAGGGACCTCGTGGCTGACCCACGGAGATCCTAGAGTTGGAACAGGCATTGAGGATTAGACATAGTGGTTCTGTCTCTTTTACATCCTTCTAGAATGGATATCTTCACAATCTTTTAAACAGCCCATGAACTAAGGTTCCTTTTGTACCAAGCTGCTTCCAACCTCCTTATCTTTGCTCCTGCTCTGTCCTCTGCCTGCAGCACCCTTCTTCCTGGCTAACTTCCACTACCAAAGCTCAAGGCAGGCTCTCCTGATCATTTAGGCTCCCCAGAAATACTTTCCTGACAGCAACACTCCCTACAAGCTCAAGTACACTAGACTCAATACAGCAAGTGGTTAAGAGCTGGCCAGCTTCATCAACTATGAACTAAGTCCGAGGGCAAGTTTCTTATCTTCTCTGCATCTCTTATTTCCTCACTGACAAAATGAAGATAAAAATAGACCTAACCTTAGAGTTGTTCTGAGCATTAATATGTGCATAGCAAGTTAATGCTGAGAAAAGCCCTAGGGACAGCACTAGCACATGTTATAAGTGTGTTGCTACTACTGCCATTATCATAATTATTGGGTTGTAAGCTCCTGTGGGGCAGAGACCCTGCACTATCGCTCTGTCTTCATAACACCAGGGCCTGGCCTGATATCCAAGGTATGGGACATCCCATAACTCAGTGGCTGACCGTGCCTCCTCAGCTCATCTGTGAGGTTCTCAGGAGGTGACGGATGGTTTCCTCATCCCAGCCTCAATATGTCTTTGTGTTGTCACTGAGACTGTGCTGGCCTCATATTGGCATGTCTTCTAAGGGGCCTGATTCACTTTCACTCTGTGATCCAGCCAATATGTGTGTCCCTTTCTGTGGGCAGGCCGAGTAGCATTGTGGAAAGAACATTGGATGGGAAGACAAGAGACGTGGCATCTGCCACTCACTGACTTGGAGGTGCATTTGGGCCTCTGCAGAAAAGAGCTCACACTGGCTGTTTTCTGTGAATTCTTTCATCCTCTCTGGTCCTTCTGTTCATCCACGTCCTTCCTCCCTGAAGCCTAGGGAGATTGTAAAATCTTAAAACCCCCTACAAGTGAGGAATGGCGGGGCACCTGGGTGGCTTAGTCGATTAAGCAGCTGCCTTTGGCTCAGGTCGTGATCCCAGGGTCCTGGGATCAAGCCCCAAATCGGGCTCCTTGCTCAGTGGAGAGTCGGTTTCTCCCTCTCCCTCTGCCTGCTGCTCTGCGTACTTGTGCTCTCTATCTCTCTGTCAAATAAATAAATAAAATCTTAAAAAAAAAAAAGTGAGGAAAAGCCCATTCCTCCATCCCTGAAAAGACTGCAGATCTACTTAGAATTATAAGAAAAGTGTCCTTATATTCAGTCACTCATCAAACAGTTGATGAGGCCGACTCTGCACCAGGCCTGTGCTGGTCACAGAAAAGATAGTAAGAGGAGAGACCAGGCATTGTCTTCACAGAGCTCACAGGCCAAGGAGGGCACAGAGCTGGAGCCATAATAAAAATAACCTAGGTCCGCTTAGCCAGTACTTCACAAAGAGGGCGGGAGTATTTCAGGAGTCACCTGGTGAGTGTTTTCCTCCTCAGCTGAGAGCTCTTGCTTTAGGCAGAAAAGTCAGCACCATCTGGACTAGTAGGTGCAGGCTCCGGGCCTTCAAGGCTCAAGTCAGGAGCCTCCTGAGGCCAGAGGGTGAAGCTTCTCTCCTGGCTCTGGGATCAGTTCCAGGGCAGGCCCCTGCCACCAGGAGCCTATGTGTCTGCTCTCTTCTTCCCATCCATATTCCTTTCAGGAGGGTCACGCAGCACAATGCCAGCTCTGCCCTTGGACCAACTTCAGATCACCCACACGGACCTGAAGACAGGAAAACTGAGGACTTCCCCAGCGCTGGTGAGCCGGGACCTTGAGGCTGTTCAGCCTGATACTATCGTTCTTGCAATTTCAGAAGCAAAAAGCAAATTCCTCCTTTATCTGTTCCAAGAATGACCCGAGGGCCACAGTCAGCAATTCAGTAGCTGGGACACTACTAGGTCCTCCCAGACCCAGTGCAGAAGTTTCCTTTCTGAGAGCAGCAGCTTGAATTTGAGTCCTGTTTTCCATGTTGCCACCCCACACCTTGCCCCCAAAGCATTTCATTTTGAATCAGAGTCTGATGGCAATTGTGGCTCAACCTGAGCTGGCCTAGAAAAGGATCCAGCCCAAAGCCGGGTTTGGGGATTTGACCCTGCGGGAAGTGTTCAGGTTTCAAGTAGGCCTTGTTTCAGAGCTATCTCACCTGCTATCCACACTTCAGGGGGGAACACCAGTTTCAGAGGTCAGGCTGTCTTTTATCGCACCGGGCCACGAAGCGCCACCTGCCACGTACCGACTCTGAAGGGCTTGGGAGACTGAAAAATAAGGAGGCTGTGATCGTGCTGATTACCAGCTGCAGGGTGAGATTAGGGCTGCGGAGAGGTGCCAGACTGCTGAAGGAGACAGACGTGGGGACCGGAGTCCCCACACCCACTTACTGTTTTCCCAAGAATATGAGCTTACTTGAGCAAGGTGGGAGGAAGTATTTTCTAGGGGGGCTTGAGTAAAGTCGTGGGAAACAAGAGCTTGGTGTTGGGTTTCCTGTTCTCTGGATGGCTTCTTATTACTTCCTAACTCCTCTCTGATAATAGGACTTAATGTTTATAGAGCACTTGCTCTGGGCCAAATCTTTCTAAACACTTCATCTGGATTATCTCTTTTAAGCCCCATGAGGAGGTATTTTGATTGTCCCCACTTTACAGATGAGGAAACTGAGAGTTCAAGGTCACAGAACTAGGAAATTAAGGGAGCGGGGATGGGAAGCCAGCTAGACTGACTCTGGATCTCATACCCTTAACCTTTCTGCTGTAAAGCCTGCCATTTCTTTTTTATAACCTTTTTATGTGAGAAGGTATTTATCAGAATATCCAGATCCGTTCTGCTCAGCATGGTAGCCACCTAGTGCAGTAGTCATTTGCCACAAATAGGGGTTACACACTTGAGATGTAGACAGTTTGAGGAGCTACATTTTATATTTAATTTTAGTTATTTTGAATTAAAATAGTCCACATGGTGAGTGCCTACTGTATTTGCCAGCACAGATAGGGAACAGTTCCATTAACACAGAAACTCTAATTTTCCACCTCAGTCCTTCCCTGTGTACTTAATGCCCGGGTTGCTAGGCTGTGGGCTTCACGAGAACAGGATCCTGGTCCCTTCTCTTCATTCTGGTTTCCCGGGTACCAGGTGCTTTTCTTTCAGGACGCATTCAGTAAATGAGTCAAGGACTCCAGCCAGCCCTTGTGCCAGATCCTGGAGCTACAGAGAAAAAAGACATGGTTCCTGCCTTTGAGGAGTCTATGAGAAGACCAGCAGTGAAGAGAAAAGCAGACCAGTAGTTTCTCTACAGTGTGATCAAGGTGGTGTTAGAAGTGGCTACTTGAATGCAGAGCCCAGGCCACTGATCCAGACTGAATGGGGTGTGGGGCAGGGATGCCTTGGGGCTGGTGGGAGGGCATGTGCAGCTAGGGAAGGCTTCATGAAGGAGGGGAGGGACCCTGGACTGGGTATTGAAGGGGAAATAATCAGTAGCCATGAGAGCAATGGGAGAAGGATGAAGCTGGCAGGAGAACCCAAGTATACCATCCCAGAGTCCTGAGAGCCTGACTCCTACCCAACCACCACTTCCTTGGGGTGGAAGCAGTATCATTCAGTTAGAGCACAAGCTTTGTGTTAAATCTCACACATGCTTAACCACATAACTAGAACATTGTAAGCACTCAGTGACAGTGATGTAGCAGGGACAGTGGCAGAAGGTTCAAATGGGGAATAGGGTGGGAAAAAGATGAGCTGAGGGAGACAGCTGCCTGATGAAGGAGCGGTCTTGAGGAAGAGATCTGTACTCACTCTATATTTGTCTCGTTAGTCCCAACTTAAGACAAGGAGATCTCTAGCCAAGGGAGAGCCACCATGTTGCCTTTGCAGGGTGATAGGTGGATCTAATGTTTATTGAGTAGCTACTGTGCACACAGCTCACAATTAGTGCTATTGAAAACCCAAAAGAAATAAAGTGTTGAGCCACAATGAGTGAATGAGCTCTTGGGGAGGACAAGACTCATGTAAGTGGAACATGGAACAGGCAGAGACCAGGGCGAATTGGTTTCTTACCAAGATCGGCAAAACAGAAGTTTGATGGGCAGAGAATGTCCAGAAAGCTTCACAGAGCAAGTAGGACCTGAGCCAAGCTTGAAGGATGGAAGATACATCTGGGCCTGCTAGTCTCTGCCCTGACATCTCCCCATGGCTCCTGCTACCTACTAAATTAAGTCCCTGCTCTTGACTTTGGCATTCAAGGTCCTTCAGAGAACTTGGTGGGATCTGGTCCTTCTTTACCCGCATTGATGCTTTGTCCAGCCAGCAAATGTAGATGGAGAGTCTGCTCCATGCCAGACACTCGTCCAGGGACTGGGAATGCTGTGGTGAGCAAGGCCCAGACTGCTTCTGCAGACCTATAGGCTAGGAGGGGAGACAGAGAAGGCAGGCCCTTCCTTTTCATATAACTTGATGGGAGCATGATTGAAAGACAGCCCAACTGCACATACTGAAAGTATACAATTTGGCTGGTGTTGACATTAGTATGCACCCAGGGTACGTTCATCATAGTCAAGGTAATGAACATTTCTACCCCTCTCAGAAAGGTTCCTTGTGCCCTTCAGTGACCCAACCTTTCTTCTGTCCCCATGGACAGCACCCACTGATCTGAAAGTTTTTTTTTTTAAATATTTTATTTATTTATTTGACATAGAAAGAGAGATCACAAGTAGGCAGAGAGGCAGGCAGAGAGAGAAGGTGAAGCAGGCTCCCCGTTGAGCAGAGAGCCCGACGCGGGGCTCGATCCCAGGACCCTGAGATCATGACCTGAGCTGAATGAAGGCGGAGGCTTAACCCACTGAGCCACCCAGGCGCCCCTGAAAGTACTTTTGATGCAGTTAGACAGTTGCCGTGATTGGGGGAGTCCAAGTGCACACCCCACCTAGTCAGGGTTGGGAGCTGGGAAGACTTCCTGGAGTAGGTGCGGTCAGAGCTGGGATCAGAAGGCCAAGCAGCGGGACCAGGAGAGCACGTGGGTACTGTGGGTCATTGACTAGGTCTGCAACACAAGCTTTGGTTTAAATCCTGCCTCAGTGGCCTCCTTAGCCCTGTGACCTTAGCAAAATTCCTGCCCCTTACTGATTGTTTCCTCCTCTGTAAAATGGGGAGAATACTATCTCCCTTTTAAATAGTTATTAATGAAAAAGAACTAGGCTGTGGGGCATTCGCACCCAGCAGCCAGCACAGAGCAGGTCTTGTCAAGTGGCGGCCTTTATTTTCATCATTCCAGTGTTCTCTCCCTCCACATCTGTTTCCCACCACCCAGTGCAATCCTGGCCCTTTTTTTTGGTTCTCGGCCCATTTTTATGCCTCCATAATGTACCATTTCTTCCATCAAAAAAAAAAAATGCTTCTCATTTCCCAAGGCCCAGCTTAGATGCTGCTTGCTCTGGGAAGTTCTCCCTTGTCCTCTGGGTGCAGATAATCACCTTTGCCTCCCCGCCCTCCACGGTCCCTCTGCCAGGTTTGGGCTGTTACTTTCTCTGTTTTGTGCCCACTTGCTGGCTTAGATGTGCATCTCCTCTCTGGAGCATAGGCTCCATGAGCATGCTGACGTTTTCTTCATGTGCCTTGCCATACCTGGCCCAATGTTGTGCCAGTAAATGTTTGTAGGAATGCAAGGACCATAGAATCTCGGGTCAGGGGTGTCTATCTGTCTGTCTGTCAGAGGAGTAGGGGGTGATGAGGAGCCCTGACTGAGAAGTAACCTAAGAGATGAGGTGTCGACAGAAAGACGAGGGGAGGAGCTCGGAAACCAAGGAGATAATTGAGGTCCAAGAGAGTAGTTTTGAACTTGTTTCAGTCGGCAGGAGTCCCTTTTTCAAAAAGCTTGTCTCTGGAAGCCCACTATATAAATTCTGATTCCCACAGGGGCGGGGTCCTAAAGACTCCCCTGATAGGGACACCCCCCCAAGGAATCCTTGTGGAACCCAAAGACTCCACAGTTTGAAAACTCTCATCAGGCTGTAGTGAGGCATAGGGGGTTCTCGAGGAAACTGACCAATCCATCATGATTTTCCTGTCCCCCTGGACTGACAGACCTGGAAGTAGGTGGATTGTGGTTGATAACCACTGAGACCTTGCCCGGCCTTCCTCCTCTTTCCACTTACCCTGGAGAAAGCAGCCCTTATGTAGTCAGAGGAGAAAACTGAGCTCATCATCTCTTCTTAATGGTGAACAAAGTAAGGTTTGTTCATGGCAAGGTAAGGGTTGTTAGAGAGAACTTGTGATTCTAAGCTGAGACCTGCAATTACTTGATTAGCATTCTTTTCTTTAAAAGAGAAAAGTTACCAAGTTGTTTTTTTTTCCTGATTCTAAGAAGGATATAGAATGATACATACAGTATGGTACTATTTATATAAGAGGAAAACAGATCTAACATACCTTCTATGGGTATATTTTTCCCGTAAAAGCCTAGAAAAGGTTTGCAAGGACACTCACCTGATGCTGAGTGGTCACTCCTGGGAGGATGTGGGGACTGGGAGTGTGGCCCCAGGAATCTCACCTTCTCTACAGGGTTGTAAGTTTTGAAAGAAAAGATATGCATGCCTTCCTTGTAGAATTGTAAAATAACTTAAAAAATAATACGTGTATGTGTTTTTTAAACTGGAAAATGTATTCCAGTCATAATATAGTCATAATCCTCCCCCACCAAAGATAACCACTATTAGCTTTGGTATCTTGAGCGCCCCACCCCGCGCGGGTCGGTTCTTTTTTTTTTTTTTTTTTTAATCTGTGTTAAAAATATATACTTCTTTAAAAATCCCCAAACTGGTTTTATTAAATAGGTTTATATCCCTGCTTTCTCTTGCCTTGACCTTTCCCCATGGCATTAAAATATCCTCCAAAACACATGGTTTTTAATGCCTGCCTAGTGTTCCCTAGGTGCAACCAAGCCCCCTTTGTTAAAGACACTTGGTTCTTTATGCTTAAAAACTCCTTGGAGGGTCACCGGTTGGAACAGCCAAGTGTTGTCATTGCTGTGGGTTGGCAAATGGGCCCTCGCTGACTAACCTCTGCCACGTTAACACGTGGTTTTTGGATCCGTAGCACCCCGAGCAGAAGGCAGACCGGTATTTTGTGTTATACAAACCGCCCCCTAAAGACAACATTCCCGCCCTAGTGGAGGAGTACCTGGAACGCGCCACCTTCGTAGCCAATGACCTCGACTGGCTCCTGGCCTTGCCTCACGATAAATTCTGGTGCCAGGTAACATTCTATCAAAATTAACACTAAGACAAAGCACATGACATGCCGTTGGTTGGTTGCTGTTGTTGTTTTTCTCCCCCCTAGGAGATGCTTTTTTCCCTACTTCTTACACTGGATCCTTAACAGCAAATTGTGGTTTGGATTGCTCTGTCTTGTATCACAGTCTTAACGATGTTTACACAACACCTTCCCACGTGTCATTTTTAGAAACTTGTGTTTAGCCCTCGGCTCATTCGTACCTCCTTAGTCCCTCGGGGTTGGAGTGTTTGCCTTAGGCCAGGGCTGGTAGGCCCGTGAGCCCCTACACAGTCCACCCACAAGCTCTTGCGCCTCAGTGACAAATCCTCGCTCTGATCTGTGTTTGGCACAGGTTATCTTCGATGAAACCCTGCAGAAGTGCCTGGACTCCTATCTGCGCTATGTCCCCCGAAAGTTCGATGAGTGGGTGGCCCCGGCCCCTGAGGTTGTTGACATGCAGAAACGTCTTCATCGAAGTGTTTTCCTCACTTTCCTCCGCATGTCCACTCACAAGGAATCCAAAGTAAGCCCCTGGCCCCACGACAGGGTGCCGCCCAATACCCAGCACCTCTGTGCCAGACTCTCCCGCCCCTGGGAAGGAAGGCTCAGGAAGGCTCTGGAAGTATCGAGTTTCCTCTTCATCTCCCCTCCGCCTTCATTCCCACCTTTAGGGAAGAAATCTGTGGCCACCCCCCTTATCTGTGAATTCACTGGGTCTGCGTTACATCCGGTGTTTTCATCAATGGGAGCTGAGGGCCCTTTGCCAGTTGACGTGTGACTGTGCCATTTTTCATGCATCAGAGGGTGAAAACATTGATTCTGATTTGTTAAAGGAACTTTTATGTACTTTTTAAAAACCTTTACTTTTCTCCCCCCAGTTTTAAAAATAACGTGCTCTCTAAACAACTCAAACATTGTAGAAATATTTTGTAGGTAGTGAAAGTCACCAGAAAATCCCTTTCCCCAAAAATAACCACCGTTATGGTGCGTGTTCCTTCAGGGAATTATTTTCCTTTCAATATGCTTGTGTGTGTTTGAGTCCATATTTATTTTTATGATAAGATCTTGCTTTTTTTTTCCCCAAAAACTTTTTGTAGTATGGAAACTTACAAATATATGCAAAGGCATAATGAACCCCATGTACCTACTTATCACCCAGCTTCAACAATTATCAGTATTTTGCCACTTTTATTTTCTTTCTTCCCCTGAGGGTTTTTTTTTCCTGGAATGTTTTTTTGTTGTTTTTTATTTTTTGTTTTTTTTTGAAGGAGAGAGAGAGAGAGCTTGAGAGTGCAGGGGCGGGGTTGTTGAAGGGCAGAGAGAGAGAGAGAATCTTAAGCAGATTCTACACCCAGCACAGAGCCTAACACAGGGCTCAGTCTCACCACCCTGAGATCATGACCTGAGCCAAAATCAACAGTAGATGCTTAACTGACTGAGCCACCTAGGCACCCCTTTCCTGGAGTATTTTATTTTATTTATTTATATATTTTAAAGATTTTATTTATTTATTTGACACAGAGAGAGAGATCACAAGTAGGCAGAGAAGCAGGCAGAGAGAGAGGGGGAAACAGGCTCCCCGCTGAGCAGAGAGCCCGACTTGGGGCTTGATCCCGAGACCCCGGGACCATGACCTGAGCCGAAGGCAGAGGCTTTAATCCACTGAGCCACCCATGGCGTCCCTCCTGGAGTATTTTAAAGCAATTCCAAACATCATAGTAATTTATCTATAAATATTTTATTTTTTTAGTAAGCTCTACGCCCCATGTGGGGCTTGAACTCAAGACCCCAAGATCAAGAGTTGCATGCTCTACTGTCTGAGCCAGCCAGGCGCCCCAACCCATAAATATTTTAGAATGAGTGCCCAACCAACTATTTAATAGTGTGTTTTTGCCTATTTTTACATTAAAATGAAGAATAGCTGTTGCTTAAGGTCAATATATGAGGCTCAGACATGCCTGCAGTATGGATGGACCTTCATTTATTAGCCAGTCCCCCATTGTTCCTTGTGAGCTTGCTATTACTTTACCAAGAGTATGCTTTTGGAAGGTCTCTCATCCTCTCTCTCTGCACTGTTCCTTAGGATCACTTCATTTCCCCCTCTGCGTTTGGAGAAATCCTCTACAATAACTTCTTGTTTGACATCCCAAAGATCCTGGACCTCTGCGTGCTCTTTGGAAAAGGCAACTCGCCTTTGCTCCAGAAGATGATAGGTATGTAGGGCACAGGGCCTGGAGGGCTGCACAGAGCTGGCTCCCACAGGCCAGACTAGAGCACCTAGATGAGCACAGGGGAATTCAGAACTGCAGTGGCAAATGGGGTTTGGACCTGACTTTGCAGGTATGTGTGTTTCAACTCTGAAAGACACAACTAGGTGGCCATGGGGGAGTAGAGACAACACTGGACCCCACGGTCCCTCAAGGGTCTTAGTATTAGGCCACATGTCAAACTGTTGAAGGAGTGGGGAGGTTTGCTTCAGCGGTGACAGTAAGAACAGCAGTGATTGCTAACCTTTAGGTGAGCTCACTCAGGGCCTGGCACTCTGCCGAGCTCCTTGTATGTGATCTTAATTGATCCTCATGGCAGTCCTGGGATGTGGCTCTGTAATCATCCCTCTTTACAGACAAGGAAACTGGGGTTAAAATGTAAGGGACTTGCCCAAGAGCCCATGACTGATAAGTGGCCAAGCTGGGATTTATGTCACAGAGGCCTGACTCTCCAGCTCTTCTTCTTTGTCACTCCCTGACTCAGGGATAATGGGGCTGCCTCAGAAGTCTCATGATTTGCATTGTTGCTGGGATCAGTTGGAGACCGAGTTCAGAGAAGACTCTTTTGGGTTGAGAAAGGAATGACTTCAGCAGTTGGATCCCATCATGAGGCAGTGGGCTGGAGGGGTCAGTCAGAGACTGAAGCTTGGTTGGGATGCTGCAGAGGGAACAACACCCTAGTGTTGGGCAGGACACAGAGACAGGACACCACTGTCAGCCCTCCTCACCCTCAAATTGTAGGACATAGCCTTCCCAAATGCCCAATTTCAAAGCTAACTTGTCCCTTGAAATGGTTTCCTTCCTTCCTCCTAATGAAAAAGGTAATAATAAAGGTAATACAGGTTAGTTTAGAAAGTTTGGGGAGAATATAAAGCGTAAAGAAGCAAGAAAGCAATTACCAAATTCTGGCACCCATAGACAATCATTGGGTGATTATTTCCTTCCAGTCTTTTCTCTGCAGATTTTTGAAAAACATGTCAGAGCATAACGTATATGAAATTTCACATCTAGCCTTTTCATTGAAATGGTGTCTGGTTTCTCATTCAAATGTAATTGTTCCCTGATCATCAGTTCAATTCTTTTACTTTTCCAGAGAAAAACTCTTCATAATGTTACTATAGACAGAGGGCATGGGGTGAGTGAGCAAAACCAGGCACGAGAAATAGTTAGAGAAACAGTTATTAGGCCAGTGGTTAGTGTGGAGCATTCTGAGAGGGCAGCAGCAGAGCATTCTGGGAGGGCAACAACAGGAGATGGGGAAGGGGAAGCTGGGGCCGGATCAGGGAGGACTCTATGCCAGCCGTTAGCACTCAGGGAACAGTATCACATGGTGGTTCAGAAGGCAGGCTCTGCCCAGTTCACACCCCAACCCTATTCCTGGGTTTGTCACTTTGTCCAAATCAGTCAACCACTGGAGCCACAGTTTTCACATCTGAAAAATGGGAAGACGAATGCTCTATCTATCTGATAGGATGGTTGTGAGGATTAGCACAGTGCCTGCCTCGTTATAAGCACCGGATTTCTGTGAGCTCTTACTGGAATGAGGCCACGGGAGCTGTGGAGAGGAGCTGTTTGATGTTATAGTTAATTTGGCAGTGTGCCAGTGGGAAGGGTGGTGACAGGAGACTGAGGAGGAGGCCAGTACTTCAGCGTGGGTTTGGAGGTGAGAGCCTGGGTTGGCTGAAGAGGACATCCTGGAGGTAGAATAAAGCAGGGTTTAGGGAGGTGAGCTAGAGGGAGACATCAACAATTCTAGAGAAAACTGGTGTCAGGTGCAGGAAAAAGGCCTTTCAGGTGGGGGTGAGGGGGGTGTGTTGCAAGTGGAGGCACAGTCAGTGTTAGATCTGTGGGGTGTGAGACGCTGTGCAGATTCAGGGGGAAAGGACTTCTGCCCGTAGTTCCAGGTGGGCAAGGGTGGGTGAGAAAGGTCATAATTTTTTGAGTAGCTGACTTCTTTGAGAATCAGATGAAAGTTTGTCCCTAGAAGAACATACCCCCTTAAAAATTTTGAAGTGTCATAGAATGTTTTTGTCCCGCAGATTGAGAACCCTTAATTGGCTCATTTAGGAGAGTCTTTTCTTTGGCTCTTAGAGGGTGGTTCATGGAAAAGAAGGCAGACCAGGCATCAGGAGCCCCTTTGTTGTGTGTGCATTGGAGTGTGTGTGTGTTGGTGTGGAGGAGGGGCCTGGAGACACACGTGCGCATACGTGCCCCCCACCACATACACATACAACAGCTGTCTTTCCAGCCCTTGAGCGGCAGGCACTACAAGGGGCAGCCTCCAATGTCTCTACCACAGAAGCTCTTGAGCCAAGCAAATCAGCTGTAGTAACAGTGTTGACAAGGGAGAGAAGGAGGGAACAAGGGGACTGGCCGATTGTCCTTTGGGCAGAAACCCAGTCCTTACCAGGTACCCTCCCACCCCCCTCAACCTTCCTGCACAAACACACCTTACTTTTTTTTTTAACCTCAAGATTGGTGTTCTGAATCAGGAAGTGTGATTTTGCAAGCAGGGCCTTCCAGTTAGACTCTTGGAGGCACTTTGTGAAAGCAGGTGTACGTCAGGCCTTGGCGCCATCGAGGACTACACTGATCTCTTTGGCAATCCCTTCCCTTCACCCTGGGTTTCTGAACTGCTTTAGTCTGAGAAGGATGCCGCCATTGTCCCTTACTTCTTAATTGTTTCTTTAAGAGATTGCAAGTCAGATCTTCACCATCACTGGATCAGATAAAGGAGAGGAAAGGGTCAGTTGTGAAATGTTATCTGTTTTGATGCTTGTAAAACATCCCTGTTACTCAGATATAAGCACTAGAAGGATTATGAAAGAGTGCCCTACCCCAGGTCAGGTGGTTAGGGCACAGTGGGGTCTACCGTATGGTACTGGGGGGAAGACCGGCTCCTGACACCTGAGTCAGGAGGCACTGCCTGGAGGAGGTGACACCTGCCTTATGGTAGACTCAACTCTGGGAGGTCACTCCAGGCAAGGGGAGGGGACAGGGCTTGTTCTCTGAGGTTGAGGAGGTACAAGAGAGAATGAAGCCCAGGAAATGGAGAGAGGGTGCGTGGAGGTGCTTTCCTGGCCAGATCTCACATGGCCCTCTGTGCTCCGGTCGGGAGTTCAGACTTGACCTTGAGGATGCCATTGGCTGGGAGGATTTTATGAGAAAGAACAGAAGTTGGTGGGGAGACAGCTCAGTCCCTGCTTGCTGTCAAGAGTAGGAGGCAGCCACAGATGGTCAGGGAGTACCTTCACAGGTTGAGGGATCAGCACCCTTCTGAAGGTGGGATACCCTGAGCAACCTTGTGCTTGGAAAACTCTGCTTTGTGGAGTCAAGGAATGAAGGGACATCCAAGAAATCATTTACAGAAAGTCCAGCTACATAGTGACTTGCTTCCTCACCCAGTCCCATCTGGGCTTTGATCCCATGGATTTTCAAATCCTCAGGATGGGGCAAGGGCTTCCCTTGGTTTTCATTAAGGAAACCAAGGACTGACCTGCCCAAAGACAAAGGATGCCTAGAATTCAGCACAGCCTGACAGTCAGCCTTAGCCATTAGGATTGTGGTGGGCTGAAGAACCCTGGCCTCTTCTTAAAGGTGTTGGCATTTTGCATCAGCATGTCTCCTGGCTAGCTATGATTTTCCCTTCCTCCCTCGCCATTTGGGCAGCCGGAACACTCAGTCTCTGTTCCAGTTACCATATGCTCTAGCCTATGCACTCACAGCAGTAGCAGCGCTCGGAGGTAGTAAACATTCGGAAAGGAGCTTTGTTTTATAGGAACAACTGCAAATACGTGGTAAACCTGTCTCTAGGTCCCTTCCAGGCCTCTCCCCTTGGAGGAGGGTAGGTTAATATGGCTAACGTATTCAAAAGCAGAGGGTAAGAGAATTTCCAGACAAATTTCTCCCTAGAGTCTCCTCACGTTATTAGAGGCGTGGCCTGGCAAGAGTCCTGGATTGTAGCATCCAGGTTTCTTGAGCAAAGAGATCATATCTCCTGATTTTCCTGGATGACTAACTCCCACTTCCAAAGCCAATGCTGTCATCCAAGGCACGGTGCCCAAGTATGATCACTCCCTGGGGACATCAGCATGAGCTGGTTTGACCAGGGCAGGCCTTTTTTTTCTTCCTCTTTCTTTCTTTCTTTCTTTCTTTCTTTTTTTTTTTTTTTTAATTAGAGAGCGAGAGAGAATGCAAGCAGGGGCAGAAGCAGAGGGAGAAGCAGACTCCCCACTGGGCAGGGAGCCCGATACGGAGCTCAGTCCCAGGGCCCTGGGATCATGACCTGAGCCGAAGGCAGACACTTAACCGACTGAGCCACCCAGTTGCTCGCAGAGTAGGCCTTTGATGTAATTCGCTAGGCAGAGGTGCTTAAAAGGTTAAATTGTACTGAGTAAAGTCCTCCCTCGTGCTGGGGAAGTTTCCAGGTTGGGCCAAAGCTCTGTGCCAGCAGGGCCTGGGGCCAGGACTGCTCTAGTGCAGACAGGCTTAAGAAAGGGGAGAAAGATCACAGAACATGCTGGCAGCCATTTGTAATGTGTCCTCCCCTCCCCCACCCTCTTTTCCTAATCCCTACCTTTCTTTTCTCTTTTCAGGAAACATCTTTACGCAGCAGCCCAGTTACTATAATGACCTGGATGAAACCATGCCCACCATCCTTCAGGTACCAGCTCTCATCCCTGCCCAGATCCCCTCCCCAACCCGATGGCATGGCCCTGGACTTTCTTAGAATAGCGTGGAGAAATGTTTACTCCCCACCCCTCTCTAGCCCCATCTCCAGACGGTCTCTGGGTCTTGTGCCTCAGCACACCCTTTCAAATTTGCCCTTTCCCCCACTTGAACAGAACTGGAATCTAAGGGCTGTCTAGCACTCATACAAAAAGAGCTTAAATTGTGTGCTGTTTACCAACAGCCACGAGCCTCTAAGGACACCCCTTTAAGAGGCCTGTGTTGCTCAAATAAGAGTTTTAAAAGTCTATAAAACTGTTTTAGAATATAATAATGTTCATTGTAGAAAATTTAGAAAATATAAACAACCAATAAAAAACAAAAAAACGAAGATTAACCCTTCATCCCACCACCAAGAGACTCTACTATTCACGATAACATTTAGCGTAGTTATGTGCTAGCTTCCTTATAGATGGTACAATGAATTCAGGACTTACGTGATTTTACGATGGGCTGTTTTCTTCACACCGTTGATTTGTTTTTTATTTCAATATATTTCCATAAATTGCCATCTCCAGAGAATCCAAAACATATATTGTTGAAAGTGTATCTTAAATGTTCATTACCATACACTTGCCCAGCATATTCATTCAGATAATTTCTGTAGGATTCTGGGGGCTTTTCATGCATGTTTTGTTTGTTTGTTTGTTTTTTAGTTTTACTTAAGTAAAATAAATTTTTTTTTTTTTAATTTGAGCCCCTATCATGGGACTTAAACTCACAACCCCAAGATCAAGGGCCATAACTGAGCCAGCCAGGTGCCCCTTTACATTTTGTGTTTTTAATCCTCCCCACAATCCTGTAAGAAGAATAACCCCCATCATCGCGATTTTATCGTTTCCACTCTAACCCTGTGTCCTGGCGTTCTCTCAGCTGGTTTCTTGGAAACACTGGCCCATACTCGAAAGATTCCAAGGCAGCTTCCAGATCGCCCATCCCCGACTGCAGGTCAGGGGTCCTAGCTGCTGGTTCGACAGGATGTAGGAGGACCCCTTCTTGTGTTTCACAGGTTTTCAGCAATATCCTCCAGCACTGTGGTTTGCAAGGGGACGGGGCCAGCGCCACACCCCAGAAGCTCGAGGAGAGGGGCCGGTTGACCCCCAGCGACATGCCTCTCCTGGTGAGGTTGCCCTTCAGCCCAGCCTGTTTTTGGCCAGCAGAGGACCCCACAGCTCCTTCCCCTGCTCATGACCCTTTTCCCCAACTCCAGAAGCAGCTAGTCCCATCACATAGGCTTAGAGCATTTTAGCAGTCTTTGAATTTTTCTCTGGGAGCTTCTTTATGAGGCAGTGGAAGGAACAGGGAACTAGAGTTCCGAGAGGGAGGTTCAGTCTTCACTTAGCTCAGCACAATGAGCTCATTCGTGTTATTCATCGAGCCCTGTGTTGGGTCCACAAATATGTACTGAGGAGGCTCCAGCAGGTGCTGAGCCTTCAGGGTAAAGCAGCAGGGCAGAAGCAGGCATGGGACTTGCAGTCTAAGCCAGAGGTAAATAAGGAACACAGACCTGTGTCAGGCCTTATGCTAAACACTGGAGATAGAGCAAGAAAGAGGCAGCCATCGGCTGCCCTATCGGAACTCACAACCTCGTGGGAAAATGGGCATTAAACAGGTATTTCAGAAGGAGGCACACCAAGTTCTGTGGAAACAAGTCATTTTACCTGCCTAAACCTCAGTTTCCTAATCTGTACGATAGAGATACGAACAGCTGCTCAGCCTGCCTTTCAGAGTGGTCGAGAGACTCTGGAACACATGTAAGAATATACTCCGTGTTCTGTATGGACTTGATATTCTTGTCCTCAGTGGGACGTACCTTCTGTGTAGGGCCACAGGCATTGTCTTCAGGTCCTTCAGCCCAGAAGAGAGAACTACATTATGCTAGAACTAGAAGTAACCCCAGATCATTGGGTGGGTACCCGTCGGAGCTAAGGTAGCAAGACCTGAGGTAAGAAGATTGAGTAACTTGTCCAGATCGTGCTGCTAGAGACGGACCAGCCAGTCTTCACACAGACCTCCAATGATCTCTCCCCCTCCCACCTCCCTGCCTGCCCAAGGCAGTGCCTGTTGGCTCCCACTGGTTTTGTCAACTTTGTCTCATACCCACCACAGAGCTGTGTATGGGGGTGGAGGAAAATAATGCAGTGTTTTCTTTTGGCAACAGGAATTAAAAGACATTGTTCTCTACCTTTGTGATACCTGCACAACGCTCTGGGCCTTTCTGGATATCTTCCCCTTGGCTTGCCAAACCTTCCAGAAACACGACTTCTGTTACAGGTACAGCGGTAATTCCAACTCCTCAAGTAGGGGTGCTAGTTGACATCCTCATTCAGCAGATATTTACTGGGTACTTAGAATGTGCCAGGCGTTCTTCCAGCCTGGGGATATAGTAGTGAAGAAGACAGGTAAGGCTCCTGCTTGTGTGGAACCTGCATTTTATCTTTTTTTCTCCTAAGACTTTTAAAAATTTATTTGAGAGAGAGAGAGCAAGAGCAAGCACAAGCAGGGGGTAGAAGCAGAAGGAGAGGGAGAAGCAGACTCTTTGCTGAGCAGGGAGCCTGATGTAGGGCTTGATCATAGGACCCTATGATCATGACCTGAGCAGAAGGTACACGCTTAGTGACTGAGCCACCCAGGTGCCATGAAACCTGCATTTTAGAAGCATTCCCTTTTTTTTTTCTTTTTTGTAAGATTTTATTTATTTATTTGACAGAGAGAGCAAGAGACACAAGCAGGCAGAGCAGCAGAGGGAGGGGGAGAAGCAGGCTCCCCACTGAGCAGGGAGCCCGATGTGGGGCTTGATCTCAGGATCCTGGGATCATGACCTGAGCTGAAGGCAGTCGCTTAACCAACTGAGCCACCCAGGCACTCCAAGCGTTCCCATTTTTGGCTAAGAGCTAGATAAGGAAGAAAAAAACCCAAGTTCAGTTCCTTGGTTTCAAAGCCCCTCTCATGGGCAGGCACAAAGGAGTAACAGATCATAAGAAGTGGTCTGAGGAGGGCGTCTGGGGGGCTTAGATGGTTAAATGTCTGCCTTTGGCTTGAGTCATGATCCCAGGGTCCTGGGATCAAGTCCCCACATCGGGCACCCTGCTCAGCGGGGAGCCTGCTTCTCCCTCTCTCTCTGCCTGCTGCTCCCCCTGCTTGTGCTCTCTCTCGCTCTTTCTCTCTCCCTGTCAAATAAATAAATAAAATCTTAAAAAAAAAAAAAAACGGGTCTGAGGACTTCAGCATCTGGTCTCAAGCAGAGCACACTCAAAGAAACAAGCAGATAAGCTCACATGTGGGGCCGGCTGCTGTGGCCATATTATGAAGCACTCTGGGAACACAGAGTAGGGAAGCAAAATTCCATCTGATGAAGTAAGAGGTTTCATGATGGCCTTTAAGTGAGAATGGACAGGAACCTTCCAGATGGAAGGATTACTCCAGCAGGCAGAACGAGGGTAAGAAACCCCAGAGGGTGTCCAGGGAGAGCCAGGGAGTGGAGTGGGATGAGGCAGGGCCCAGAGCAGCAGGAAAAGGAGCAGCTAACAATAGACACTCTGGAGAGGTTGGTAAAAGCTGGATTGTGAGGATCCCTGACGTCACTGGCAGGGAGTGGGGCCTCTATTCTGTAGGCAATAGGGAGCCACTGGGAGCTTTTATCCAAAGAAGTTATAGAAAGATCCTGCCAGGATGAGGAAAGATGTAGGGAGGGAGACCCTCCTTGCACACTTAGCTTCACAGGCATCTGTCTGTTCCTTGTGCAGCGATGAAGGGGTGCACAGGCCTGGGCTGGTAACCTGCATGTTGCCTGGGAATGATGTGGGGGTAGTGCTGGCCTGTTCTCAGTGGCCTATGGCTGTCACTCTTGCCAGACATCTCCCCAGCGTTTGCAGGAGCTCCTGGGAGCTGCTCAACTCTGTGTACTCAGCCACCAGTCCATTCAGTCGTTTTACTCACCCATTCAACAAAACATGTATCTAGCACTGACCTGTGTCAGAGAGGGCAGCTGGTGTTCTAACCCCTCCTGGGTCCCCTCAGCTCGAGAAGGTTGCACGTGAGAACTAATCAGCCTCCCAGAGGATGTTAGAATAAAGCACCAGTCGGCACTTCACCTGAAGAAAGGGGTTAGGATAGGCCTGTGGCAATCTGCCCCCCCCTTTCTAAAGATTTTATTTATTTATTTGACAGAGACACATCGAGGGAGGGAACACAGCAGGGGGAGTGGAAGAGGGAGAAGCAGGCTTCCAGCTGAGCAGGAAGACCTGATGCGGGGCTTGATCCCTGGACCCTGGGATCATGACCTGAGCGGAAGGCAAAGGCTTAACACCTGTGCCACCCAGGTGCTCTGCCGTCCCCTTTTTGAAAAGGTATCTTTTCTCATGGTTAAAATGGCAAATGCTCATAGGAAATTTGGAAAATCTCCAAAGGTAAAAAATTAAAATCTTATGAGGGATCATGCTGTTTTTAGGATTTTGTATCCTGCTTATCTTCACTTACTATAGGCATTTTCTTTTCTTTTCTTTTTTTTTTTTAAGTAAACTACCCCTAGTGTGGGGTTCAAACTCACAAACCCATGATCAAGAATCACATGCTCTGGGGCGCCTGGGTGGCTCAGTGGGTTAAAGCCTCTCTGCCTTCGGCTCAGGTCATGATCCCAGGGTCCTGGGATCGAGCCCCGAATCGGGCTCTCTGCTCAGCAGGGAGCCTGCTTCCCCTTCTCTCTCTGCCTGCCTCTCTGCCTACTTGTGACCTCTATCTGTCAAATAAACAAACAAAATCTTTAAAAAAAAAAAAAAAGAATCATATGCTCTACCGATTGAGCTAGCCAGGTGCCCCCATAGGCATTTTCCTGTTTTGTTAAAGCATCTTCCCAAACATGGTAACAGATTGCTTTTGAAAGGGTCTTTGGAAACAGGGTAATTTTTGGAAGAACTGACTTTCCTGCAAGGGACAGTGAAGGCCGGGGAGCGGCTCCACCCATGTTAGAGTGAGGAGGGAGGAAGAAAGGAAAACAGGGTTGACTACAAGTGACACTGCCTTTGACCCACTAACAGCTCCGGGCTGGCCCAGCGTGTTCTCACTGTGTTGGAGGCCAGGAACGCCCGCTGAGCAAACGCAGCCATCTTAGTGCCTGCAACTTTCTGGAAGGGTCTACAGCCACCAAACAGCTCTGTGGCTAATCCTCTCAGGACAACCTCCTTCCTCCCAGACATCCTCAAGTATATCTGAGTAACTCTTTGTCACGTAATTTTACGAAAAAATAATACATTCACGTGGCTTAAAACTCAAAATATATAATGAGGGGCACCTGGCTCAGTCAGTAGAGCATGCAACTCTTGATCTCTAGGTCATGAGTTCAAGCCCCACATTTGGCCTAGAGCTTACTTAAAATAAGTAAAACCAATAATAATAAAAGTAAAATGTATATATGAATACATAAAATGCAGTCTACCTCTTCCCCTTCCCCAGTCCCGTTTTCACACACCACCATTGTTGTTAGGGTTTTTTGGTGGCGTTTTCCAGAGATACACATATTACATATCAACCCCCTCATCCTTTCATTTATTTATTTTTTGAAGATTTTATTTATTTTATGGAGAGCACAAGCAGGGGTGGGGACAGAGGGAGAGAGAGAATCTCAAGGAGACTCCCTGCTGGGCGCAGAGCCCAGTGTGGGGCTCGACCCCACACTCCTGCAAATGAGACCTGAGCTGAAACCGAGAGTCAGATGCTTAACGGACTGAGCCACCCAAGGTGCCCACCCCCACCCCCTGCCTTTTAAATTAACTGCTGACCTATTATGAGTACTATATGTACTGTTTGCATTTTATTTAATTAAATAATTTATTTGTTCAGCGATAGAAGTTTATTTCTCACAGTTCTTATTTTTCAAATTAATGTGTGTCAGTACACAAAGCAACCTCCATCTTTGGTGCAGCTGGATAGAATTCCATTGTACTGTATGGAATACCAGACCCCATAGACTGACCTTCAGATTTTTTTCAGTTGTTTGCTATTCCAGAAAAATGTTACAAAGAATAGCTGCACATACATCATTTTGCACCTTTGCAAGTACATCTGAGGAATATATTCCTAGAAGTAGAATCACAAGAACAGATGGTTTGGGTATTTTAAATTCTCCTAGATCTCGCCAAATGGCCCCCCAAAGGGGTTGTTCCAGTTTACCCTCCCACCAGCCATGTATCCTGGCAACACCTGAATCTGCTTGGGCCAGACTGCCCCCTCTGTCTTTTTCTGGGTGCCATGCCTAGAACCCTGCCTCTTTGGGCCCAGTTACCCTCTGCTGTGTATGGGACTACACTAGCGTAGAAGCTGCCAGAATCCAGCCAGTGGGTAGTAAAGTGTTTGCAGAATACCTGCTTCAAATTCAGCAGCGGTCCTAGGCCCAGAGGTTACAGTTCCAGCTTTGGGAAGCCTAAGATATTCAGAGGAAGAATTTGACCACAGAAGAGAGGCGGCTACATTTTAAGTTGTAAGGGTAACATATATTGGGTGCTGGGCACCTAGTTCCAGGAAGGAGTTATCACATGGTGAGCATCACCAGGAAGCGTGTGGCTGGGACAGGGAATTGGAATCTGAGTTGGGAAGAGGGTAGGTGTGATGTTGCTGAGGTGAGAAGCAAAGTTGGCTGCTCCGTGCTAGCTATGCATGGTACCAGAGAGAGTTGTTAAGAGTTCGATGTCACGGGAGGTGGGGAGCTCCTGGCAGGTTTGAGCAAACAAAAAGAGTGATCTTGTTTGTTTTGCAAACCTCAGTAAGAAGGAGCCTGTCTGGGCCTCAGTTTCCCAGGTGAAAGGGGACAGGAGGTACGGGTCACTTCTCACGTGGCTCTTCCTGGACCAGCCACAGTGGGGCCCAATCTGGGGTGAGCTTGGGGGTAGAGCCGGGCTGGTTCCGGGAGCAAATTGCTGTGGCGACAACTTGGGAGCAAGAAATGGGCCTTTCCCCTTCCCATGGGTTGCTGTTGATTTTTCTGATGAAGTGTGGTATTTAGGAATTAACCCCACCCTCTCCCCATGTGTGCCTTCACAGACTAGCTTCCTTTTATGAAATCGCAATTCCTGAACTGGAGTCCGCAATGAAGAAGAGGAGGCTTGAAGACAGCAAGTGAGCAGGGGACAAAACTAAGTGCTTTGTCATCAGGGAGAGAGGCCCTGCTTTCCCCGGGCTTCAGCGTCCCCATCTCTAAGAATGAGGGGGTAGCCCCATGGAGTGTCCCTGCCTAGCAGTCTCCCAGCCCCAGCATCCTAGGCTTTTTCCCTCTGCTGTTGCTCCAACCTCTTAGTAATCGGTGGGCCGGTTTCCCACCCACTGTTTACAGAGAAGCAGCCGGGGAATCCACTGGCCTCTTGGGGCCTGTAGCCTTTTGCCAACTGCTATTCACAGCGCATTGTGACACATTCTTAGCCCTGGGGAGGGACACCTACAACTGTTGAGAATAAGCTCCCTCCGGGCCTTTTTAATCTCCTTAATCTCTGTTTTTGTTTTTTTTTTTTTCCCTTCCCTCTCTCTCTTTGGCCTTCAAAGGCTGCTAGGGGACCTGTGGCAGAGGCTGTCCCATTCTAGGAAGAAGCTACTGGAGATTTTTCACATCCTCATAAACCAGATCTGCCTTCTCCCTGTCCTGGAAAGCAGGTGAGCCCTTGGGAGCAGCTGCCTAGGTGGCTAGGCCAGCAGAGGTGTCCCCCTCACTTCCTCTGCCCCCTTCCTGGTTGAGCGGAGATGGGAAAAAGAGACCCGTGCCTCTTTCCTCTCACTGGCCTGAGGCTTTGCAGAGGAGCAGGGAGGGAAGTTCCAGATCATTTGCATCAAGCGAGCTCATCTGCCCTGCTGTCCTGTTCCAGCTGTGACAACATTCAGGGCTTCATTGAAGAGTTCCTTCAGATCTTCAGCTCCTTGCTGCAGGAGAAGAGGTGAGTGCCGCCAAGCTGGGACCGGTGGGCACGAGGCCTTACATATTACAGCTTCTGCCAAATGCTTATCCTGGTCTGAGGTTCTTGGTTGGGCAGCAGACCAGCGCCTCTGTTGCCCCAGCCTTGTCCCTTCTGTCTGCTCCCTGGCCAGCAGGTTCCTCCGGGACTACGATGCACTCTTCCCTGTGGCCGATGATGTCAGCTTGCTCCAGCAGGCCTCCGCAGTCTTGTATCCTTCTCCCACAGCCTCTGGGACAGGACCTGGCCTGACCAAGTTGGAGATGGGCTGCGAGGACCCGGGGGAGCAGAGGGAGGTTTAGCTCCAGAACCCACAGGTCGGCCAGCTACAACCCACGGGTCTCCAGAATGCCCGCCAAAGTCCCAGCCCCGTCTCTGGAGGAGATGACTACTCTGGTCCTCAGAGCTGGGTGGGGTCAGAGGCCTTCGTTCTGCAGGTGTTTACTGAGTGTCTGGGCCTGTGTGACCAACATGGACTCAGCCCTGCTCTCACAGACCTCATAGCAGGAAGGGAGACAGACAAGGAAACAAGCAAGCTTGGGGTAAGGCTATGAGACAGAAGTGCTGTCTGAGCTGAGAACAGCAGAAGAGAATGGAGGAGGCCAAGACCAGGGCTAAGTGTTCCCAGTAGATGGAGGACAGAGAGGCCCTTCTGAGGCGCTCTGAGACATTTTGTGTGGCTTGGGGGTGTGGGGTTGGGAGGACCGGGGTCTAGCAGGAAGAAACTATCACGTGGTAGGTGAGCGGACCTGCATGGCTCCGGGACGACTCTCACTGAGTTTGGACTCTGTCCTACAAGCACTGGGGTGTCATGGAAAGGTGTGAAACAGGGAGTAACAGGGTCAGTTTTATACTTTGGAAAAGCTCTGTCTGGCACTGGGAAGAGAACAGACTGGCCTGGGACCTCTGTGAGGCCCAGGGGCTGGTGGGGATGCTGTGGCTGGCATCCAGGTATGGCCAGTGGGGGTGCAGTTTAGAAGGGGTAGGAGGGCATCTAGGGTAACACCCAGATGTCGGGCTTGGCAGTGCTGGAGTGGTAAGAGAGTGAGGAAGGACAGGGAAAGGGGCCTGTGGGCCATGTTGGAGGCTGGGTTAGGTGGCTCAGGCTCGCCTCAGGGATAACCCCTGGGCCCCCAGCCTTTTTTTTTTTTTTTTAAAGATTTTATTTATTTATTTGACAGATCACAAGCAGGCAGAGCAACAGGCAGAGAGAGGGAGAAGCAGGCTCCCTGCTGAGCGGAGAGCCGGGCCCTAGCCTTTGTAGGAAGCCCTCAGCTAGTTGGACAGGAGGCTGGGTGGCAGGACCCACATCAGGCCCTCTTCCTAGGTGTCAGTGCAGAGGAAGAGCTGCTGGCCTCCCCAGATGTCACATCCCAGGGTGCCCCTGGCCCTGTCTTCATCCAGACCTGCTTTCTGCTGAGTGTGAGGCACTGGGTTTTAAGGCCAGGATGGTCGTGGCCTGGCCTGCTTCCCCACGCAGCCCGGGTGCCCATGATGCCCACAGGGTACAGCTCAGATAGCCTCTAACACAAGTCACAGGGTCAGGTGCCAGAAAGGGATTGAGAGACTATGCTGCCTCAGAGCAAGGGAGGCAGCGAAGGCCCCCGCCCCCAAGAGAGAGACGCCTTAACCTGTGTCAACAGGGACGAAACGCGGACTGCCTACATCCTCCAGGCCGTCGAGGGTGCATGGGAAGGGGTGGACCGACGGAAAGCTACAGATGCTAAAGATCCGCCAGCGGCTGAGGATCCTAATGGGGTCATTGTGCTGGCAGACGCCGTTGGGGGACCGTCCTCACGTCTGGAAAACTCAGAGGAAGATGAGGTGTGTGTCTGCAGCGGCGTTTTCACCAGCTTCCCCTGCCCTTTCCGGGAAATCTCTCCCCCTACTCTGTTTCCGCTCTCAGAGAAAAGCGTTTCTTTTGGAATTGACAGCCTCGAGCTGCCTTTGGAGAGTCCTGCAAGTTGCTTCATCTGCCAAAACCCCAGTTTCTCCCCTCTAAAGTGAAGTGCTGGAGCTTTGGGAAATCCTTCCTGGAGCGCTCCTCTGAGCAGATAGATCGCCGCAGTGCTACTTCGGCTGCAGTGGAGAGCGGCGCCTGGTCTCACTGCTTGGCCAGCCTGGATTCCCTGCTGGGGCACAGCACAGCTCCACTGAGCGAGTTTTGAAGCCCCCAATCTAGCACTTTCTCTCCAGGCTTCTCCAGAACTCGCCCACTCTACAGCTGTACAGATGGACCACTGAGCCCAGGACTCTTCCCTGCATGTTGGGAGGCTGCGTGATGTGGGGATCAAGGCCACCCAGTCTCTGGGGTCCAGCAGCCCAGGGGTGTACCCGGCTCCTGCCACTCACCAGCCGTGTGGCCGTCATTCCCTTCTAGCCTCTGTTCCCCATCTATAAGTGAGGATGGTCACCATCCCTGCCTCCTCGAGTTTGTGGGGATTCCCAGAGGGGTTGTGTGGAGCGCCCCAAACCCAGCTGGCCCTCTGTGCTCTGTTAACAGATGCCATTCTCCTTCCTGTTAGACTCAGGCCCATGACTGCCACAGGGCCTTGGAAAATGACAGCCCTTGCCACCTTTCCCACACTCTTCCCCACTTGAGCTTCTTAGCAGAGATATGGACGATTCTTTTTTTTTTTTTTTCTTTTTAAGATTTTATTTATTTGACAGACAGAGATCACAAGTAGGCAGAGAGGCAGGCAGAGGGGGAGGAGGAAGCAGCCCTCCCACCAAGCAGAGAGCCCGACGCAGGGCTCAATCCCAGGACCCTGAGACCATGACCCCAGCTGAAGGCAGAGGCTCAACCCACTGAGCCACCCAGGCACCCCTGACATGGATGATTCTTATTGTTGTTTGTTTGATTTACAAATTTCCTTAAATGAAAAGCCTAACCGAATTCAGTCACATGGAGCGGGATATGAACTGAATCCCCCTTCTTAAAAGGAATATAATCAAAGGGGAGCAGCTCCCCATGGTCCAGGGCTGGTGATTGCCATTCCTCTCCAGTGCTGTTCCTCTCCATCAACTTGTTAGAGCTGGCTAAGGACGAGTAGAGGCCACGGCCATTTACATAGTGTCTGGTTTTCTCCATGCACTGTGCTTGGTGCCTCAGGTGAATGATTCTCTCCGAGCCATCTGAGACAACCCCATGAGGTGTGTGGTAGTAGGCCTATTTTATATGGAAGGAGCTCGGGTTCAGAGAGGGGAAGTGCCCTGCCCAAAGTCACACAGCCAGAAGTAGCTCTGCCAGTAAGTCACAGAACCCCAGGTGTGGCAGGGCCAAGACTCACACCAGGTCCCTGGATTCCTGGTCCTGTGCTGTTCAGGGCCTGTGGCCCTCTCACCCACCTGGCCCGGTCTTCCCCGCCTTCACTCCAGCTTTCTCCACAGTGCATGGGGGCAGCAGCTGCCCTGGGCCCTCCCATAGGTGGTGTGGAACTGGACTCGCTCATCTCCCAAGTGAAGGACCTGCTGCCGGACCTCGGTGAGGGCTTCATTCTGGCCTGCCTGGAGCACTATGGCTATGACCCGGAGCAGGTGATCAACAACTTCCTGGAGGAGCGGCTGGCCCCCGCCCTCAGCCAGCTGGACCGCAGCCTAGACAGGTGGGAGAGAGAGGTGGGAGGTGGCTCCCGGTGCCCAGGCTGTGGCATGGCCCCAGCTGGAGGCGCTCTGGGGGTCTTATCTGGGCCCCTTCTTGGGTTCTCTGCTTCCCCCTCCTGTGCCAGAACTCAGCCCTCTGTCTCTTGCCCATGGTAGCATTTACCAGCCATGTAAATGATGGCCTCCTCTGGAAAACCTCAAAACTTTAGGTCCCTGGGGGGGGGGGGGGGTCCTCATGTGCCCCCTGCAGGGCAGAGTGTGCACAGCGGCACCTCACTGGAGCAACAATGTGGCATGTGATAAAGGGGTTGCCGAGCCTTTCAGAGTACCGAAGTTTCTGGCCTGCCCCTGTCATTGTCACCTTTCCAGTCAATTCCCAAGGGAGGATGGCCAGCGCTTCTCACTTTCCTCACACCTCCCTTTCAGAGTTTGGCCCACTGCTTCTCGGAAGGCCCACAGGGCCACAGTGATGGGTACACAAATGGGTGTTTTTCCCATGAACAAATTACGTTTTTTGAAGGAATGAACTTAGCTCCGTCTCTGGACAAGTTCCTTAGCTACTTTGTGCCCATTTTACAGAGGAGGGCACTGAGGCACAGAAGGGTTGAGTGTTCTTAGGGACCCATCTTGTCAGACTATTGCAAGTGTTCGGTAAGGGAGGGAACTGAAGAAAATCCATGTGACCAGCCCATGGGACCGAGGGGGAGCCTTGAGTGAGGGATGGCTGTGTCCCCAGGGAGGGGCCTTACGGATCAGTGCTTTAGATCACGTCTCGTGTGGCTGTTGAAGGGCAGTGGAGAATCTGATGGAGATAACGTGGTGAGTGTCCATAGGGCACAAGGTAGGTATCAGCTTACCAATCAGTCCTCCTTAAATTGATTTCTGGGTCACTTCCAGGCAAGTAAAGCCAGACCCGACTCCCCTGCTGACATCTCGTCACAACATCTTCCAGAATGACGAGTTTGACGTGTTCAGCAGAGACTCAGTGGACCTGAGCCGGGTGCACAAGGGCAGGAGGTGAGTACAGTGGGCTGGGGGGTGCCAGGCTCCCCTACTCTGTATGTGCAGAGAGAAAATCAAAAGACAGTAAAGGCTCCGTCTTTATGGAACTGGCCTGAGTTTCAGTTTAGGGTCTGCCTGAGCAGTCCAGGACCTCTGTACTCCCAGCAGACAGGGCCAGCTTCTACACTTGATCTTAGCCAAAAGGCCGAGAAGCGATAGGGCCAGCTTCTCTAATAGTTACATGTTAAGCTCTGACTCTGCACGGGGTTGTTTTTAAATGAATCCCCTTGTGGATAGCAAAAGGCCAGAGGAACCTAAGCTGTCCCCCTCCTCCCTTCCTATATCTTTGGATGTGTCAGCCATCAAATCTTTAGACAATAGAGCCGAGCGGTACTTCTAGAAGCCGCCCCTCCATGTGATTTTCTCTGTTCTGTGACAAAATGAGAAAATTAAGGACCTATACTAAGTGAGTTTTTCAGAGGGTGAACGCATTCTATTTTAAGGCCTTTCTACTTATTTTTAGTGTATGTCCTTTCTACTTTTATGGGATTGAAAAGCCCATTTATGATTTATTCATTCATTCAACAAATATTTGCCTGGTGCTTACGGCATACTCGGCCCTGGATTTATTAAGTGCTGGAGATATAAGTGGGCAGTGAAACAGACACGGCCCCTGGCCCTATGGAGTTTGCAGTAATCAGTTGTTCAAACAAGCAGAGTAACATTGCAGATCTAACAGGCACTATAAGGTGAAGGTGTACAGACTTCCGAGCTTCCGGTAAGGGATTTGATCTGAGTAGGAAGGCTCCTCTGAGGAAATGACGTGGGACCAAGAGTGGAAAGATGAGGAAGGGTCAAAGGGTCAATTCTGAAAAGAGCGGGCAAGGAGAAACTTTCTGGGCAGAGTAAACAACAGGGACGGTGACCCCGAGATCGTGGGGAGCATGGTGATGGTCCATGAGCTGACACATTTTATGCTTTGGAAAGAGGACCTGGCTTTGGAGTAGAGGCCCATTGGAGGGACCACGAGTCAGTCAGTAGTGATGATGGTTCAATAGAAAAGGCAAAGTAAGACATTGACAACACTGTGCTAGCCCCCAGGGTTCCTTTAAATGGTATTGGTTCATAAAATCTGGGAATTTGGGGGGCGCCTGGGTGGCTCAGTGGGTTAAAGCCTCTGCCTTCGGCTCAGGTCATGATCCCAGGGTCCTGGGATCGAGCCCCGCATCAGGCTCTCTGCTCAGCAGGGAGCCTGCTTCCCCCTCTCTCTCTCTCTGCCTGCCTCTCTGCCTACTTGTGATCTCTGTCTGTCAAATAAAATGAGTAAAATCTTTAAAAAAAGAAAATCTGGGAATTTGGGAACTGCAGGACAAGTACAGGCTACGCACCCCACCCCTCGTTATATATATATGGAGACAGTGAAGTTTAGAGAGGGGCAGTGAGAGACCTGCCCTGTTCTTATGATAGGAACCCCGGCAGCAGAATTGCAAGCTGCTTCTTCAGTGAGGGCCCCGTGCAGCTCCCTCTCCCCAGGGCCATCTCATACTAGAAGCTCAGCTGGCCGACGGCTTCGGGGAGCGGGCGCAGGGCAGCTATAAAGCCATCTGGCTGGCTGGACAGGAAGCAGTTGTAAACTGCTTAGTCACACACGTTGCGACATCCCCAGATCCCAGGCTAGAGATGTTATCCTGCATCAGCGGCCACTGTTCCAGACCAGCATGACCCTTGCAGCTCCTTTTATGGAAAAAGGGGCAGATGAGGAGGGCTATGCCTTGCTCTGAGGGTACTCCAAGCCGCTGGGCAGAGAGACTGGGCGGCAAATGTTTACCAAACTCGTGAAGTTGGGTCGCCTGGGGGCTGGGGATTGCAAAGAGGCAAAGCCTCCATTTATGTGTTCATTATTTATTTATTCATTCAGCAAATATTTATTAAGTGATTTACTAGCTCCAGATCCTGTGCTAGACACCAGGGAGACAAGGTGAGCAGGGCACTCGGGGCCATGCTCTCAAATGGCACAGAGACCGTGGGAAAGACTCAGGCCATTAAACGAGTAGCAACAGAGTGGGAGAGGTGCTGGGGTGGGGCATACAGGGACCGCAGTGGGGACGCCTGTCCTAATCTGGGCAGGACAGTCAGCAAGCACATGAGAAAAGTAGCACAAGGCAGGTCACACTTGAGTTAAAAGGTAGGTGTGTGGTTAAATCAAATAGCTCACTCAGTGGCTCAAGTAATAGGGAAATCTCTTCCTGGCATGACAGGGAGTTACAAGGTAGGGCAGTCTAGGCTTGGTTAACCTGTGGTACAGCCTCATCATCAAGGAAGCATCTTTGCCATCTCTCGGAGCTAGTTCCTTTGAAGCCACTGGGCAGCTGCAGCTGTTTCAGCTGCAACCTCCAGAAGTGACAGTGCCAAGAGGAAGTCTGGACCAGATCTTCCTGTATCTCTTTTAGAGACCAGGAAGCCTTTCCCACAAGTTTCCAGCTCCGGTCTCATCGCAGTTGGGAGCTGGATCACAGGGCCAAGGTCCAGACCTCCAGCAGAAGGGGGAAAGGTCAAAAGACCTGAACCAAGTGAGGGTCTGTTAGGAGTGGGGTGAGGTGGATGATGGCTGTTGGGTAGATGCCAGGCACATGGGCCAAATGAAGGAGGCAGTGTGTATAAGGTGGGGTCCCATAACTCCTTTGGACTAAACTCATAATCTGGAAGATTATGAGTGTTCTCCCTCAGAAAGGGGTCTCTGGCCAAAAAAATGTCTGTGCACCTGGCTTCTTGGAGAGGCACAGAGCACATTAGCATGTTAAAGGCTCTGACAAGTCCTGCCGTGAAAAGAAACAGAATTCACTTTGTTGAGCTAAGTAGGTGCCAGGTTCACTTTTAGTCATCATCTTATTTCATCCCTGGGATGCAGAATTAAGACTTGGCAAAGATAAGAGGCTTACTTGTGATGGATCACACAGCTCAGGAAGTACCTGAGCAGACTCGAGTTGGTAGACCTGTATTCTGGCCCTGGCTCGGCTGGTCGAAGCTGGGTGACCTTGGGAAAGGTGCTATGCCTTTTGGGGCCTCTGTTTCCTCACCTGCAAAAGGAGGGGTTTTTTGCCTCCTCAGGTCCTTTAGGAGTTCAGAGGTGGGAGCCATACCCCAAGGGCCAGTTGGGCTTTGAAGGATAGGCTGGAAGAAGTGAGGAGGGGGAAAGGGGCTGGGCTTCAGGGGAGCCCACATGGTCCCTGGGCTCCCTGTCATCTTGTAAGAGGCCAAAGAAGCACCCACTCCAAAGTCTCCGAAGCCACTGTTGCTCGTGTTTCCAGACTTGACTGGAGTTCTGGGCCTCGGATGGGTCTTTTCCTGGCTGGCATTCATTGCTCCTGACTTTTCCTTCTTGGCTCTAAATGCAGTCATGTGGCCGAAACTGCACCTCCCTGGATGGCATGCCCAGGGCACCAGGCTCCACTGTCCCTGCCTGTGTCCTCTCCAGGAGGACCCTGGGTGGGCAGAGTTGTCAAGGTTTTGCTGCCCTGCCAGGGAGCTACATAACCAGAAGACTACAGTGGGATCTTACGCACAAGAACCAGGGACTGGATGGACCAGGAGCTATGGGGTGTGGCAGAAAGGACTGTGACCTCTCTCATTCATCCCTGGACGCCTGGCTCAGCACAGGTCCTAGCACCTACTAGGCCCTCAGGAAATATGTGTAGAAAGAGGGGATGTGCTCCTTCCAGTGGCACCAACCACTTGGATGAGCTCGGGCGCCTTTGCCGTGCTCCCCTCTTCTTTCCTCTTTAGCCCCCAGCCTGATGAAGAGGACCAGGTAAGGGCTGGGCCCAAAGTCACAGGCCCCCTTTCTTGGCATGATATGAAATTTTCCTGTGGACCAAGAATTTTCCCTTGTCTAGATCCAGTGCTCCCCAATGCCCCCCGCCAAGAGCCTCCATTTCCTCTCCTCCCACCCCACCCCCACTAGACCCCCTGAAGCCAGAGGTCATGTTTCCTTTCTCTGTGTTCTTAGGGCATGCTTACCTTCATTCAGCACATTTCATGATAGCTGCCATTTGGTCGTGACCCTCTCTAGACTATGAGTTCCATGAGGCCAGATCCAGACCTTACTCTTTTCTTTTTTTTTAAGATTTTATTTATTTATTTGACAGAGATCACAAGTAGGCAGAGAGTCATGCAGAGAGAGAGGGGGAAGCAGGCTCCCTGCCAAGCAGAGAGCCCGATGCCGGGCTCGATCCCATGACCCTAAGATCATGACCTGAGCCGAAGGCAGAGGCTTAACCCACTGAGCCACCCAGGTGCCCCAACCTTACCCTTTTTTGATTCTCTCTCGCAACTCAGCCTTAGTACTCTGTCTGCCACATAGTAGGCCCTTAGTAAAAACTACTGAAAGAAGCCAAATCCTGACCTGTCCCAGGCTCCCAGGCAGACAGCCTGAGTGACGCAGGCCCCTGTCCCTCCCTGCATCAAAAGCCAGTTAATAGAAGATTTTTATGAAAGCTGCATATGACTTTGTACCTCTTTTTCTTCTTCTTTTTCTTCTTTTTTTACCCCCCCCCCCCCCAACCCTTGATACCTTCCAGAAAACCGATTTCACAGCTAAGCTGGATTTTCTTGCCTGGCATCTCATATTGATTTTCCCCTGCAGGGCTAGAAACTACATTCCACAAGCCTGCTATGTGTCTGGCAAGCCAGGGTTTTCTATGGATTTGCAAAGCCACAGTTAAGAGGCCTGAGTCCCCACTGAGGCTGTGCTACAGTTCACAGATTTCAAGCACATCCCTCTCCCCTCCACCATGCCCGAATTTCCTCACCTATGATATATAACAGGAGTTGAACTTTTGGACTTTTTCTTCCAGTGCAATCTGATGTGGAAGATTGAACTGTAGAACAGATAGAAGGCTACTGTGAGGAAAGCAGGGGTGCGAGGAAGAAGGCAGCTACCCCTGCTCTCCCCTCACCCCTCTGAAGTATCCCGTGGCTCCCCTGAGCTTAGTAAGCGGGCCACATGTGGCCTCGCTCTTTCTTAAAATTTTTTTTAAAATTTTTTAAAGATTTTATTTATTTTAGAGAGAAACAGCATGAGCGGGAGGGGCAAAGGAAGAGAATCTCAAGCAGACTCTATTCTGAGCACGGAGCCCGACGAGGGGCTCGATCCTGGGACCCTGAGATCATGACCTGAACCTAAACCAAGAGTCAGAGGCTTTAGACTGTGTGCTACCCAGGTGCCCCTAAATTTTTGGTTTTTACTTTTTAATTTCTTTTGTAGATTTTATTTATTTATTTGGCACGGAGAGACCGCTTGAGAGGGAACACAAGCAGGGGGAATGGGAGCTGGAGAAGCAGGCTTCCTGCTAAACAGGGAGCCCAACACAGGGCCGATCCCAAGACCCTGAGATCAGGACCTGAGCGGAAGGCAGACTCTTAATGACTGAGCCAACCAGGCGCCCCTAAATTTTTGTTGTTTTAAAAGGTTCGAATAATCCCAGGCCCTACCTAAGAGTAACCATTGTCATTTGACAGGGGACTTAATAGCTCTTTGTGCATTGACATGTAAATTATAATCTATGTGCTCATAGGAACACGTAGTTTGTCTGGTTTGCCTTCTGCTTTTTATACAGCTGGGATCTTACTGCATACATTTTTCTGTAGCTTACTCAGGAGTAAGTCTTAGAATTCTTTCTGCATCAGCACAGATAGATGAATGTCATTCTTAATAACAGCCGCACAGCGTTCTGTAATATAGATGTGGCACATCATTTGGCCATTTCACCTGTGATGGACACTAGTTGTTTTCCATTTTTCACTGTCACAATCAACGTTGAAAAGAAAATTCCCCATCAGACTTCTTTATGCACCTGGCCAGCGGTTCCCTAGGGTGGGTGCCTCCGAGAAGAATTTCCCAGCCGAAGGGTGGGTACGTTTTACATGGCAGCATCCCTTTTGGGATGCCTTCCAGAGCAGCTGGACCGGGTCACAGGGCCACCAGCAGAGGGGACAACCTCCCGCCCTCCCCCACCGCCCACAGCCCTGCCCCTCCCTTTAACACGGCTGCTTGTCAGTTTGCACGAGCCCAAGCCCGTGGTGCCTTGGACACTCGCGCTCACAGCCTCCAAGGCCTGATGATTTTCCTTCCTCTCTCTCTTCGATGTCCCCACTCGCCGCCGCCAGGAAGGAGGAGAACACGCGGAGCCTGCTGAACGACAAGCGGGAGGTGGTGGCTCAGCGGCAGCGCTATGAGCAGTACAGCGTGGTGGTGGAAGAGGTAGGGACCCCAGGCCTTTGCGGGGGCGGGGGTGCGGAGGGAGTCGGCAGGCCCCGGGCCCATCGGCCCCACACTCCTAACCCCCACGCTCCTTGCAGGTACCCCTGCAGCCTGGCGAGGGCCTGCCCTACCGCGGCGACGACTACGAGGATGAGTACGATGACACCTACGATGGCAACCAGGTGGGCGCTAATGATGCCGACTCAGATGATGAGCTCATCAGCCGCAGGTGAGGCTTCGGGGCGCTAAGAGGGCGGAGTTCGGGGGGCGGGGCCGGGGGCGGGGCACAGGAGTGCTCCCGAAGCTTCTTGTTCATACAGATGGGGAAGCCAAGGCCCCGATGGCATTAGCAAGTCAGTGGTAGAGCCAGGGCCTAAACTGAGCCCTTTTTACTCCTGGTGCAGTGCTCCCTCTAGCTCCAGACACCCCCTCAGCCAGTTGGTCCAACCCATCCCCAGTGGGACAGCATTTATTTGGTTTCATGCACTCCTTTCAGATTGTTCTTAAATGCAGAAAACTCTTAGCCATGGAATCTTAGATTTCCCAGTGTGGATAAAAACAGAGCTGCCCAGCTCAGCCTCCCCTAAGCCTCCGTCTCAGGTTCTGGTACTTTCAGAGAGCCTGGGGGCTGGAGCAAAGCTGGCTTAAAAGCACCCAGCTGCCTGAACCCATCCCCATCCTGATACCCCCTCTCACCCAGCCCCATCGCCTCCTCTCCGAGGCTCCCTTTCCAGGTCTAATCCAGTCTTTGATCTCACTTTCTCTCTAAACCCTCAGGCCCTTCACCATCCCTCTGGTGCTGAGAACCAAAGTGCCCGGAGAAGGGCAGGAAGAGGATGAGGAGGAGGAGGAGGAGGCTGAGGATGAGGCCCCCAAGGTACCGCCTTGGCGGGTGGCAGATGAAGGGCAGGGGCGGTTCTGAAGGGCAGATTGGGGCCACTGCGCCCCTGCTTGCCTGCAGCTGGCTTTGAGGTGGTCTCACTGCCTGGGAGAAGAGGGTTCCTCTGAGCCTAGGATGTCTGCTTGGAGAGTTGCTGGCTTGGAACTCACCTCCACTGCCCAGTGTGGGCTTAGGGGACAGGTTAGAGGCCAAGCCTTTGAGTTGCTGGGTTTGTCAGGCCCATGAACCTGGGGGCTGAAAGAGGGACAGCTCTGGGCCACCATGCTCAGGATGGCAGTTCTTCGATTTGTTTGTTTTTTTAAAGATTTTGTTTATTTATTTGATTTGTCAGAGCAAGACAGAGAGAGAGCAAGCACAAGCAGGGAGAAAAAGCAGGCAGAGGGAGAAGCAGGCTCCCTGCTGAGCAAGGAGTCCATTGCGAAACTCGATCCTAGGACCCTGGGATCATGACCTCAGCCAAAGGCAGACGCTTAACCAACTGAGTCACCCAGGCATCCCAGGATGGCAATTCTGAAACTCACAGAAATGTTAGAGCCCAAGGGCCCTTGGAGGTCATCTGGCCTGGTGGGTTTGAAAATTCTGGTTTTTGGCAGCTGAACTTTTTCCTCAAATGAAACCTCAACTAGAACCTCAACATATAAAACAGGTTAAGGGTGGTGTTGCTCAGCTTGAACAGAGTGGCACCTTGGGACCCCTGTATCCCCTTGTGCCCTCCCACCAGGGTGACAAATTCTGATGCATCCAGGCCTGGCTCCCGAGGTAACGAGTAGCAGAGACTGCCAGAGACCGTGGCTGGTGGGGCAGAAGCACACATATACCCTGTCTGGGGGGTTTCTCAGCAGAAATGGAGGCCCAGAGCTTCCAGGGCTTTCTCTTCTTCCCAGGCAAGGCATCAGCCCAGATTTTTCTGTAAAATCTTTCAGTTTTTGAATGTTATGGTTGCACTTGTTTGTGTTTCTTTTTAAACAGTATAGACCGTGAAAGCCTGTGTGTCCTCCTTCAGTCCCAGCTCTCCCCACTGCTAGTCCAGTCTCCTTTGCTTATTGGCCAAAAAACAGTCTTCAGGAGTGGGTACTCCCGGAGTACCCCGGGGGTGGCCCTAGAGTGAGGACCAGGCAGCTCCCAGGGGCAGCTCTCTTGGCCTTCAAGGCCCTGTGCGGCCTCTCATGGTGGCCATCCTGTCCCTCATTTGTTATCCACGTGCCCATCTGTGGTCCACCTGCTCCACCCTACCTGTGCAGGAAGCCTTTGTCCCTTTAGCGGCTTCTAAAGGACGAGAGAGGCTTCTCATGGAAAGCTTGGACCCAAGCAAGGGCGGCTGCATTACAGGGCCCCACTCCTGGCCCTGAGGTGTCTACAAGATTCAGCCAGGCACAGCTTCACAGCTACGTGAGGCTTGGGCAAATGGGGCAGCTCCTGACTCTAGACTTTTTTTCTCCCCTCCCCTCCACAGCCTGATCATTTTGTGCAGGACCCTGCGGTGCTGCGGGAGAAGGCAGAAGCCAGGCGGATGGCCTTTCTCGCCAGGAAGGGGTGAGCATTTTGAAGAGCTGTGTCTGGGGGGAAAGGGGCCTTCTGGGGGGAAGGGACCCATCTGGGGAAGGCTCAGCCAAGCACCTAGTATGTCGCGTGTGTTAGTTTAATCCTCACGACAGCCCCATGACATAGCCACTTTATCATCATCCTCATTTTACAGAGGAAGAAATAGACCCATCTCCAAGCCCTCCTCTCCTTGCTGTGGGCTGTGCTCAGCCTACAGCTGGTCCTTCCCGCAGGTAGGCCAGGGACCCATCTGGAGGCAGGGTTCAGAGAAGAGAATTCACCAGACACAGGACCGGCCAGAGCCCCCAGAGCCCTGCCCTTGTGGGGCTCCATTTCTTCTCATTTGCAGTGGGACAGGGGTGTCCTGGCCCCAGCTGTGTGTCCCCTCCCAGGGACCTCTAAGAAAGGCAGTGGGCTCTTCCCATTCCCTGGGTGGCTTGTTCCTTCCTTAGGTACAGGCATGACAGCTCGACGGCAGTGGCCGGCAGCCCCCGGGGCCACGGGCAGACCCGTGAGACAACCCAGGAACGCAGGAAGAAGGAAGCCAACAAGGCAACGCGAGCCAACCACAACCGGAGAACCATGGCTGACCGCAAAAGAAGCAAAGGCATGATTCCATCCTGAGGCCGCCCTGTCAGGGCCAGCTGGGAGGGGGCAGCAGCAGACCTGCCAGGCTGAGTTACTACAGCCTCGTGTCTCCTCACCTGTTGGCCTCCTGCTGGGGCCCCAAGTTCAACTCCAACCCCTCAACAGCCTCAGCTTCGCAGCCCCTGAGAAGGCCGCCTCGTCGTCCACCAGCCAGCCGTGAGCGCCTTCTTGCAGAACACACAGTGCCTTATCCCACAGTGGAGGAGCCCCTGGGCCCAGCGAGCAGGTGAAAGGGATGGGGACAGAGCCCCAAGGCAAGCCTCACAGACCTCATGCAGCAAGACACCACTTCTCTTGGTGGTTTCCTTCCCGGATGGCAGGAAACCTGTAAATTCAAAAACAAAAACAGAAAAGGCCTGCAAATAAAGTTTTTGACCCTTTCAATCAATGATCCATGAGTGCCCCCAGCCTGCTTCCCCTGTATCCCATTCTTCAGTGACAGCCACCATCAGGAGAGTGAGAGAGCAAGGTGATCGCCTGCTCTGCTCATCAGCCTGGCGTGCTTGCCTCACGTTTTAACCCCTCCCGAGGTTGCCCTGCTTTGTCTGTCCCTGAGCACATTACTCCCTCCTCTGAACCTCTAGTCCCTGCTTGTGGAAAGAAGAGATGAAGGTGTGAGGCCCTCTGGTCCCCTCCATGCTCTCGTTCAGTCCCTGCAACCTCCACCCCTAGAGGGAGGGAGTATTTCCAGCCCCATGGTGTAGGTGAGGCGCTGAGAGCTGGAGGTGCCTGCCCAGGCAACAGGCAGGGCGGTTGGGGGAAGAACAAGGATCAGACCCTCAGTCTGACCCCTGGCCTTTATAGAGTCCTAGACTCCCATAGGTGGTGTCATTGCCATCTCACAGCTGTCCCGAGGACACTTGTCCAGTAGCAAAGCCAATACCAGAAGTCAGATCCTCCAGAGTCAAGGAGTCAGAGACCAGAAGACGCCTGTGAAGGAGGTCCGTGCCAAGCCCCATTGAAGGACTTGGGCCTAGTTCCTCAAAACCCCACCCGGGTGTGGTCAGTTGGTTGATAGTGTGGCAGCAGGTGCCAGGCATCCCGATTCCTGGTCTCTCCTCACCCCCAGATTGTTGCTGATCAACAGAGGATCGAGTGTGCGGTATTTGCCGGCCTGATCCTCCCCAGCCTGGCCTGGAGTCCATCCATTGGAGCCAGGGCCCCTGCCCAGCTGGACCTTGACAAATCACCCGAGATGCTTGTGTAATTTATTTGCACATGGTTTGGATGAGTGTCCGGAGCAGTGAGGCAGACAGGCACTTGACGAATTGGTTTTGTTAGGTCAGCCGCACAAGTGAAAATCAATAGCAATTCCTCTGAGTCACGCCAGTTCTCTTGGTGCATTTGAGATGCAGACCAGAGAGGGGAGCAGTGTCTTCCCCTCCAGCTGCTGAATTAGCTGAGATCGGGCTCGGGGTCAGCCACTCTGACAGGCAGCAGGAAGACTCTGTTTCCTCCCAGAGGCCTTTGCCAGGGACCACACAGGTGAGGGTCATTTCTTTATTGTCTCCCTGAGCTCCTCAGACCCAGCTCTTGGCGCTGGAGCAAGGCGAGGTGAATTGGGGGAGCCCTGGGCTTTTCTCACCTTACCTGTTAGTGTTCACACACTCCTTCTCGCCTTCATTTTGTCATATGTACCTCCTGACCTCTGGGAGCGGCGTTCAGGCCTCACCTTGGCATCCCGGTCTAAAGGATTAAAGAAGACAAATGATTTTTCAAACTTTCCAGAATGTACTGCCAGACCAAACTTGATCTCCCTTGAAGAACTATTCTTCCTCATTGCAGATTTTGAGGGCGCCCCCTTCAGGGATGCTTTGCAAACACCTCACTCAGGAGTCCTCCAGAGCAGTGCTGGCAAGCACAACCCTTCGCTTCTCAGGGCCTCAGTTTTCCCATCTGCAAAGTGGGTACATTGGGCCAGGTGAATGGTTTCCACTTGGTGCCAATTAAATCCTCTGAGGAGGCCCCAAGGTTTAAGATGGGCAATGGCAAAAGTGTTACAAGTGAAGTGGGGTAGGAGCCCCGTACCCTGCTCACTTGATCCCTGGGCCCCACCACCCCACCGCTGCTCCTAAGGAATTTCTAAGTGCCTTCTCTGCACCCTGTTAGAGAACACAGCTATCACAGGCATTTCCCAGGAAGCTTTTATGACCCAGTGCCTCCAAGAGGACTTAGGATTTCGAGTGCCATTGTTTCTAGCTCACGAGGGGCACTGATGGCAAATGTGTCTGTCTGAACAGGGCTTCTGGACCTCTCTGAGGTGGAGAGAGCAGGGCAGGGCCTGTCATTGATTTTAAAAAAAGGGACCCGGGAGCCCAGGGAGGCAAGTTAGCAGTGGAGCCTGGATGCAGGTCGGTCCTTAGCCCCAGGTGCAGTCTGGAAAAGGAAACGATTAGCAGGAGCCTGCCTGTCCCTGTCACACCGGGAGCTTGGGTTGAATAATGCATAATGCAGAGAGGGAGACCAAGAACCACAAACAAAAATAAACTCACCAAAAATGCAGGGGGTGGTTGTGGAGCCCCCTACTTTAAAATGATGTCAATGAACACTTGGTAGCAATGTGAGAAACAAAATATTGAAGAGTAAGTTTGTTGTTGGTGGTGTTTTTTTAAGAGAATGAACTGGATGGTAATGCTCCACGATTGTGAAAATATTTTTGGAAAACTTCGTGTACAGACTAAGTCTGGAAAGCAATGTGCATAAATGAAAATGACAGTAAGACCATGATATTTGTAATGAGAATAAAAGCGCTTACCGAGTACTCACCGCGGCCAGAGTTTTCTGCTGGGCTCTTTCCTTGTGTTATCTTGTCGAACTCACGCCAGGTAGGTTCAGATGAGAAAACCAAGGTCAGAGAGGGCAGGTGACCTGTCTTACGTTCCACACTTACCACATGACCAAGGAAGGCTTCAGGCCCAGGATTTCCTAAAGCCCACGCTTCTAACCCCTATGCCACATGCCATCCTTTCTTTCTTTCCCCACCTCCGCATCCTTGTCACTAGTGTCCTTAACAAAGAAAGTAGAAAATATAAGCCCAATAGCTATAGGACAAGAGGATGGGAAATCCCAGTTCATCAGACCTTTTTTTTTTTTTCATTTTGTTTTCAGATTGGTTTGTCCTTTCCTCTGTGAGTCCAGTCTGCCGTGAAGCCCACTGAATGATTCTTCATTTTTATGTCCAGGGGAAGCAGAGAAAAGGCTTGCGGGGGGCGAGGGGAGCAGAGAAAAGAGCTCTCTCAGCAGAGATGGGGACAGCAGACCCTGAGGAGCACAGAGGCCTGGGAGGGGGCAAAAGGGTCCAGGGTGAATATGGAAGAAGGGTGGGAAAGAGGATGGGAGCCCCAGAATTAGGACCACAGGCCAGGCCATGGCCCAGACATTTGTCCAGAGCAGCTCCCAGTATGAACTGGCTGTCCTCAGGGCTTGGGGCATGGACGGTCAGCCTAGTTGGAAGGACCAAGGGAGGAGAGGCTAAATGCGTCCACTCAGCACATGTTTACCAAGATCTACTAGGTGCCAGGCACTGAGTCAGGCATGTGTGAGAAAGACCAGCCCCTCACCCCCTGCCCTCGTGGAATTCACAGTCCAAGGTGGGATCTAGACGTTAAGACATTTTGGGAAAGTGATTTAGTCACAGTTGTACTAAGCCCTAATAAATGAATGAAGAAACGAACAGGCAAGATGAACAGAAAGAAGCCAAGAGCAAAGAGACTTTCCAGAAGCAGCAGGTAGTGGGGGTGCCTGGGTGGCCCAGTTGGTTAAGTGTCTGCCTTCGGCTCAGGTCATGATCCCAGGATCCTGGGATCGAGCGAGGAGTCAGGCTCTCTGCTCAGTGGGGAGCCTGCTTCTCCCTCTCCTTCTCCCCTCCATGCCCCCTACTACCTCTGGCTCTCTGTCTCTCTCAAATAAATAAAATCTTTAAAAAAAAAAAAAAAAAAGAAAAGAAAAGAAAAAAGCAGCAGCAACAAAGGGTAGTGGTCACAGTGTCAGGCAGCAGCTGGGAGGTCAACCAGGCTAAGTCAGTGAGGCTCACGGCGGGGCTTTGCCCCCACCTCCCCAAGAAGGGAAGACATGGAAAGAATGGAAGGTGAGGAAGAGAAGGCCGGAAAGTGGGCCCCTCTTCCAAGGAACATGGCTTCAGGAGGAAAAGAGAGCTGAGAGGAGAGGAAGGAGCCTTGGAACCCAAACCGTTTTTTTTTTTGGTTTGTTTTTTTAAAGATTTTATTTATTCGGCAGACAGAGATCACAAGTACACAGAGAGGCAGGCAGAGAGAGAGGGAGAGGCAGGCTCCCCGCTGAGCAGAGAGCCCGATGCGGACCCTGGGATCACGACCTGAGCCGGAAGGCAGAGGCTTTAACCCACTGAGCCACCCATGCACCCCACCCAGACTGTTTTGATGGGATGTCTAGGAGGAGGGGAGGCACCAGGGCTCTAGAAAATGTGCTTGGGGGAAGGCTAGTCCCCAGTAGGAGCTCCCCAGGTCAGCCTGGTGTCCTGTCCCAGCTAGATCTCTGAGTGCTGGGGCAGGAGAAAGGGACCTTGACTATGGCCTGAAACTGGTGTTGCAATTCTGCAGCCTGAAGAGAGGTAACCAATGTAATCTAAAGGTTACTATCTCCAGCCCCGGCGGGTGGGGTGGGTTGGTATGTGCATCTTAAAATGAGAATCAAATTCTGACTTCGCATCACACTAGAAATTCTCTCCCAGCAATTGATAATCATCAAGAGAATTTCAGACAGCTGGAAGACCTCGGAGAGCCTTAAAGGGCATTTTGTCCAGTTTCTCAACGTATTTAAGCCCCCAGCCCTCCCCCACAAGTCTCGGACCCTGGGATTTCAGTTACACCACCCCTACTCCCAGGAGTCGGGGAGGTTCGCCCTGCTTGAGAATTCACTGGGCTTCCAAGGTGCTCTCCCAGCCATGGAGGTTATATCTTCAAGCTTTACTCGCTGCGGTCTGAATTACAAAAACAACGGGCACTTAATTCTAGGTTTCCCACTATGAAATTATGACATTGAATACGCCTTTTCTGGCTGCACAAGCCCACCCTCAGCACTCTGGCGGGTCCCTTAAGTGCTCTGCCATTCCAAGGGGGTAATTTGGGTTTTCTTCTGAAAGTGGTTTTCGCAGAAGGGCGAGGCAGAAAGGGGGCCCTTCAGTGGGATGAGGGCCAACCATGCCCGTCCGTTTAGGAATTTTATGGGCAGAGTTTCCACGCAGGCTCCTGCCCCCATCTTCCATCCTGTGGTCTAACGTGCTTACATTGTGTTCTTTCACGTGCATGTTTGCAGGCCTCAAGAGCCCATCATTTTTATTGTTATTTTGTTTGTAAAGCGTGGCGAAAAGAGCACTGGACTGAGGGTCGGGAGCCTAGGGTCTAGGCCCTTAGATTTCAGCAAGCTGTGTGACCTTGGGTCAGTTCCTTGTCCTCTCTGGGCCTCAATATCTTCTTAGAGGAAATGGGGATGATCATTCCCTCATCTCTCTTGCCTCATGGGCATGGGTAATTGTGAGGGTCAGCTGAGATCATGCTGGGTAGGGGCAGAGGGCACTCTGAAATTGGGGAATCTTGTTCAAAGGGGAGAGAAGAAAACCAATGGGAGTTTTCTGGCTATGCTGCATTTGGGGCATTTTCCTCTTCTCTCTTTTAATCACCCGGCCAGAAACTTCTTTGCACAAATCACCCATTTCCAACAGGCACATTTCTCATGGAATGCCAGGGTCCCAGGGCCAGGAAAAGTTTGAGAGCTGCCACTGTCTGGATTGTTGCTGACCGTTCTCCCTGGAAGGAGAGAATCCGGGAATGGCCTGAACTCCAAAGCTTTTGGCTCCATGAGCAAGTTCTGTCATGGAACAGCCTCCCCCAAAAGGCACCCACCCCTAGGGGAGCCTGGGAACTCTCACACTGGGACCCCTCTGGTTGGTGAGATGGTTGCCCCTTTCTCCTGACTGGTCTACCAGATGCCACAGATGGGCAGAACGCACCCCAGGTCCAGCTGGCCTATGTCACAGGAAAGCAGCAACAGACCAATTCCACGACCCGCCACAGGGGTGTGTGCAGCCTGTCCCAACTTTAGAGTCTACACAGGAAGGCACTGGCTCCTCCCCCAGAGTAGTAACTCAGAGTAACATGCAATGGCCAGGGGCCCATTTGGGTTTTGCCATTTATTTTTTTTTTTTTAAGATTTTATTTATTTATTTGAGAGAGAGGCAGTGAGAGAGAGCATGAGCGAGGAGAAGGTCAGAAGCAGAAGCAGACTCCCCATGGAGCTGGGAGCCCGATGCGGGACTCGATCCTGGGACTCCAGGATCATGACCTGAGCCGAAAGCAGTCGTCCAACCAACTGAGCCACCCAGGCGTCCCAGGTTTTGCCATTTAGAACAGGAGCTGAGCTCTGGGGTTAGAAGCAAGCTGCTAGCCTCAGCCACTCTCCAGCCTTGGGACTCTGAGCGAGGTGGCCTCATTTTTCTGAGCCATGGTTGTTTCTACACTGAGATGTTGGCAGGATGGCTGGGATAAGGTGTTTATATATAGTGCTGGCCCATGGTGAGGCAGGCACACGAACTCACAGGGCCCTGCTCAGTAGGACCCAGGAGAAGGGGGTGGGTGCCTTCCACCAATGCTGCAGTCAGATTTCCGTGCAGCCCACCTCTCAGCCTCTTAGCACAGCTGCTGTGACTCCTGTACGGCAGTCCTTCCGGAAGCTTTTGGGCTCAGGGTAATCCAGACACACAAGAGAAGACAATTGGCACAATCCACCCTGGTAAGTGTGTGATGAGTGCCCTGGGAGCACAGAGGAGGTATCCTGCTCAGCTTTGTGGGACAGGAAATTACCATGAATCCTTGAAACAAAGCCAGGTGATAGGTGTGATTATATAAGCCTCGTTTAGAGGTTCGGCCAGTTGCTCATGGCTGAGCAGTGGCTGATTCAAGATTCAAACCCAGGTTTACCAGCCTCCTGGCTTTCCTGCTTCCCTATAACTCGACACTTAACTCCATGCCTTGTTAGCGCAGCATGGAAAAGAGGACCTATCACCTCCTTTGTTCTAAACACCATACTTCTATGAGTACAACTTATAATCAAGTCATTCCATTAACAGAGATGAGAGTGGAAAGTTGGGCAGGATATATTTTCCAAATCTCCACTTTAAAATAGTTTTCCCTGTCTGCGAGCAAAAGGAAGGGCTACTCCTTAAAAGGATCTAACTTGAAGGAGGTGTTTCATTAGGAAGGATTAGTGAGCCCAGGAGATAAGACACGCGCAGACTTGCAGCCCCAGGGCAGGACGTAGCCTCTCTATTGGAGGCCTGGACCGAGGGAGAGAGAATTGTGCTCAGACTTCTGCAAAGGAGAAAGACGAAAGCAGATAGGAGTCCGTTATGTGGTTAAAGGTGTGGGGAAGAGATAAGGACCGCCGGAGGAATGCACCAGTCAGCTAGAGTTTAAAACAGTGTTAGAGACACTAAAAACAAGATTATCACAGGACACGCAGGGGAGCGCAAGAGGGTGATCAGGCCTTAGAGGGATAGAAAGGATGTCAGGAACAGGGTTTCAAAACAGCTAGGACAAGGGGTGGGGCACTTCGATGATTCAGCTGTACAGTCATCCCCAAGGCTCTCAGCCTCTATTTTGTGGATCAAATATGCTAATTAGGCACTGTTCCCTGAAGACTGTGCAGGGAGGCCCCCCCCACCCCCATAATGTACTCATGGTAACAACATAACAAAACCACGGCTGGTAGGTGTGTGCTAAAAACATT